CTCTCTCTCTCTCTCTCTCTCTCTCTTTCTCCCTCTTTCCGCAGAAATTTTCGGACTACGTTTCTCTTCTATGCAGATTCAATTGAATGTCTATCGAGTTGCTTATTTATTTAGCAACAGTGACAGGTATAGTGCCTATGACAGTCGTAGTCCTATTTTAGTTGTCGACACATGAGATTAGAACTATTGCAGAAGCGTTTATTGAAATCGATAATGAACGATTTAGACTAACGCCGCACTAATGCCATACGAACAATACATTGTCTGAACAGAATGCATTGTGTGTGGGCTTCAATTTCCCCATTCAAAGCTGCAGTGAATAAAAGCAAACATTTCCACTTAAACTGAGTGCTATGGCAAACGTTTACCGCGCAATAGTTAATCTCGAAAAAAACAGTAGGTATGTGATTTCATAGTGTACAGTTATAAGTGACATATATATTGTAAATATTAGAAATTGATTGTTCTCTAAGAATCTAATTGTGAAGATTCTCTAAAAACAAATAAAAGAATAATTTTTTTATTGACTTAAATTAAGGCAAAAGCTTTTTTTATATCAAATATACATATAAAGATTTCGCGATTAATATTTATAATAACGAATTTTAAAAATACATTATAATTAAAAATTACAAAATATTTGCATTTTAAATATGATGTACAATTAGACATTATACGGTCTATTTTTTATATGCAATATATTATATTCTGCTATAAAGTTACAGAACTCGGGATATGATATTTTTTATAAAAGTTGAAAGTATCAAATTATATGGTATTTATATTAAAAAAAAATTTATAGTCGAATTTTATGTAAATTTATTTTCGTCATTAAATAAAATAGACATTTTAATAGAAAGTATAATAACGTTTTTGTATAATAATAGTAATATTTGTCTTTAAATTATCATAATTATCGCTATATTTCCGCGCCAAAACGGAAACTTCTCTCACCGTACCAAGTGTGCCGCGTTAATTTATCATTAAATAAAATATATTATAATTAAATTTTTTGAAATAACGCAGAATTTCAAATGATATATATTCAGACGACTCTTTATCTCTCATACAGAACATAATGTATAGGCATGTGTCACGGAGTGAGCTAATTTGGTTACTTTTTATTACGAGTGACACATATAAGAGGGTTCGTTAAATAATGCTCTTTATTAAAACGATGAATGTATTGTATTCCCAAGATATCAAGAGGCGCTCGTATTTGCATTGTAGATATTTTAAGTACCATGGTATCTATTAATGTACAATTAATATACAAATTCTGTAAATATCGGTTAGCTTTTTTAAAACAGTTATGCAATACCGCACATTAAATTCATATTAGAAATTTTTATGTTTAAAGTGATTTGTGTATTTTTGCTTTTCGAGTTTTAACGTTTAAAGCATATTGAACTTTAAATTTTTAATTAATAAAAAATGTTTAGTTACCTTTTTTGCTTTTAATTTATATTTTAAATAAATTCACAATATAAATGTTTTATTACAAAAAATAGCAATTTTTTTTATCAGTCGATG